GTCCGTCGCTCTGTCTTTCCGTCCGTGTGGGCGTCAGTGTGTTTCGCTTTGGGGTGCCCATCTCTTATCAGGAACTCCTCTAATACCACTGAATGAAATTTGATGAGATTTTTAAAGAATCTTTATTACATATTGCCAGTGTGCACCTACTTTTTACTTTTTGATCCAACACATATTTGGGTTTCCTATAGCAAAATATGGACACTGCCATTTTATCTATATGGGTGAAGGGGTATCATTTAGTGAGCTCATTGCTAACAGTATCTCAAGTATTAGTTATTTACGAGAAAGAGAAGTCTCGATAAACTGGTCAAGGGTTTCAGATTTAAACTTTTACTCGGTACTTAGGGCCATTGGACAGTGCATTGAGGGATCTTTATCATGCCTTAACAAGGAGCGTCGGTTTTTGAAGTATCATCTGACTAACCTGCAATTTTCACTTCTTACAGCCAAGCGCTTGGCGAAAAACGTGTTTCCTATTCTTTTATCGACTTGTGTCAATTTGGGTCAAGATTCACGACCTTTAGATCACGGAGCAAGCGCTCTACCGATTGAGTTATTTATACAATTTGAAGACAATATAATTTTTGTACACATGTCACTATCAATGAATAAGAAATTAAGATAAATCACTTACTCGACGAAGTATCCACAGAATCCCCTCTTTACCTCCAAATTGTGCCAAGCAACGTGACAACATTCGTGCAAGTTTAAGTAATAACAAAAAAGGAAATCTAAAGTAATTTCAATAATGTGGTATTTTTATGAATGCCACAAGACGTGTAAACAAATTCCTGCTATCTGTACAGAAATCTTCATATCAAAACGGGACAAAATCTTCTAAAGATCTTTCTACTCATTCTACACCTAATACTTTGCCCTATATTGTGAAGTTATTTCTTCTAACCGATATACCATTATTTTTGAGAATACAAATCAACACGCAGGCTCATTCACCGCTGATTTTGCAACTTTTAAATTGAAAACAAATTCTTCATTAGTAAATTTTAAATAAATTTATTCTGGGGTACATTTTAACTTGAAATATTACGTTGTAGCCCAAAGGGTCATCATTTGAACAATCCTGACTTTCTCGTCTACAGTGAGATGTTTCTTTATAATATATACATGTAATATAGCTAAATGTTATTTGTTTTTTGTTTTTTTTTTGTTTTTGTTTGTTTTGTTTTTTTGGATAGAATTTTAGCGAAACAGATTTTCCTCAATTGTACTTTTTAATAGTAATCATATTTTGTCGAAACTAAGTCAGAATGATTTGAACATGCTGTAATTCACTTTTTATTCACGAGATCTTTAGTTTTGCGTAATAACGCGACACAATGCGTTCGTAAAAATTTAATTCTCGCGCAAAAAAGTATTCCTTACGATTACATAGAGGAATAACAATTATTCGTGAAAATTATGTCTCGCTTACATAGAGTCAATGACAATCTCGCGAAAATAAGGTGTCGCAAAAAAGTAGTGATCTACAGTATATGGATTTGAATCTACAATGCATAACAATCTTTGTATGTGTTCCTGAGTAGTTATAAACCTTGAAAATCTTTATTATTCAACAATTTTATTCTTTTTCAGGGTTGCATAGAAAATTATCTGAACAGACATATGCGTATTTGTAAATCAGGTACAGTGCAGTGAAATTGAGTTTCAAAACAATACCTTACGTTGTGAAAAAAAACTAGTCAAACCGCGTGAAAATCACATTAAGAAAAAAGGGCATTGGGCTCACAGACCAGTCTGCAATTTCCGTGTAAACTGTTGAGTAAAAAATATGAAGAGAATAATATCGATCTTAAAGTTCAACTTATCCAAATCAGCAGTCTCGTTTAAAGTCATTATTTCGAAAGTCCTATGGTTGATACAATGACCTCGTCAGCAAATAGAATTTATTATTGAGTTAAATGCTGACTGACGTTTTTCGTACTAATAGTAAGTCTATTATTTATACACTGAATTGACGACGGATTTTTCCGTTATTTCACAATCATGACAAGGAGCACACGGCGGGTGTGACGGTCAGCTGGGGGTGCTCACTTCTCCATGACACCTGATCCCACTTCTGATGTTTTGGAGATCTGTGTTTGCTCTGCCCCTGTTTTGTATTGCTTTATGGACTTTGAAATTGAATACTGTTCGTTATCTCCATATCCTACCTTATACAAAATAAAGAAGACTTTCTTTCAATATGACCTCTAAAATATTCAATTGACATGCATTTAAAAAAAAGGAATTTTTGTTTTAAAAAAGGTTACGTTAGAAAACAATTTATCTTTTTGCATATAGATGAAACCGGGCACCATGTTTCTTTTCATGGTAAAGACCACTTGTGATTTTAATATTCAGATGATTCATATCAGCTACATTGATTGGTTTTCAAGACAACATCGTCTTTGTGTTTTTAAATTTTGGCATCACTTAAAACCATTAAAATCTGTCAGTTTGGTTTTTAGAATACAACATGTTGTTAAGAATGAATATAAGGTTGATTTTTTAAATGTTTGAATGAGTATGGAAGTATCGAAGGTGACTTCCTTCTCTTTTATCTGCAAATTCATAGACACGATAAGTGTCATTGAATTTCTTACTTAACATAGGTATGCTGTAAAGTATAATTTCTTATTGCTGTTTCTTTCTTCAGGCATTTTTTTTAGATATAAGCCTTCTATAGTGGATCATGTGCATATATTTTGAATGCGCCTTAATGTTCTCCTCAGCAGAATTATTTACTTTTTCATTTCAACAAAGTTATCATTTTGATAGCTCCTTGAACTGAAAAATTGTACTAAATCTCTAATTTCGTTATTTTTTAAACCAGCCGAGTATCCATGAAACATATAGCGATAACAAACAGTTTTCAGAATCAAAATTCTATATTAATATTCATGGAATTAACTACAATATTTCCATTTCTAATTTTTTTCTCTGTGATAACTCTTTGAAAGTTAGGGGTAGTTTATTTCTTGATACTTCTTCCGGAATGTAAATTAGGCAGGTCAGTAGGTCGGGAGCTAAGGAGGCCTAATACGCATGCAATTCTCGTGCGCATCTGTCTCTGTCTCTGACGCTAAGGAGGCCAAATATGCATGTAAATCTCGTGCAGCTGCCTTTGTGTTTGAGGTCGGTTGGCGAGGACTATTGAAATTGGCATGGAAGTCATCATGTGATTTAAATCTATTTATCTACATTTTTAAAGTCTAAATCTACAATTTTATTTCACAATGAAATGGAAATATAAGGAATCACTGTCTAGTTAGAAGCCCGTTATGCTTAAATTATCCCATGTTTCCCACTATTGTTGATGCCCTGACATACCCTCCTAACTAGACAGTGATTCCTTAAGTATTACATTTACTGGACCCCGCTATGTATCTCTGTTTGAATAGATTTTTATGAAGTTTCGAAATCCAATATAGATATGGGGATTCGAATTCACTTTGGTTGTTGAAAATGTTGAATATAATCAAAACTTGAAGATTTTTACCTTCTATTAATTGATTGTATATTGTTTAACGTCTCTCGAGAAAATTTTTCACTTATATGAAGACGTCACTGTATGCCGGAGAAGGGCTTCAAATTTTGACCTATACTCCTCACTCAGGGCCATTGAACAGTGAGGGTTTTTTTATCGTGCCAGAGCCTACCGTGACACGGGACCTACGTTTTAAAGGTCATATCCGAAAGACCCATGACTTTCACTTCTAGTGCCGAGCGATTGGCGAAGGAACAGTAACACCTTTGTTTACGTCTTAGGTATGACGCGGCGCTGCGAACGAGAATCGAACCCGGGCTTCTCGATCACGAAGCGAACGCTCTATCACTAGGCTACCGTGACCGGTTTTTTTCCTTAGAAAGAGAGCTGCAGTATAAGTTGGACTACCAAATGAAAAATTAAATCCCAGTTCCTCTTAAATACAATTTAGATCATGAGTCTTACAAACAATTTGTTGTAAGAAAGGACAAAAATCAAATTCAACAACAAATTCTTCGCAGGTTAAACGCTAACCTAACACAACCCTAGACGTGGGATCAGGTGCAATGAAGGATAAAACTCCACATTCGACTGGGTAAACATAGCAATCTTTTGAAAAAAAATTAAATATCATTAAAGTGGTTTACATGGCACCTGATCCCACATCTGATGTTTTGGAGGTCCGTGTTTGCTCTGCTCCTATTTTGTATTGTTTTACGGACTTTTGATTCTAGAAATTGTTTGTTATAGCATTATGATTCATGGACACTCGGATGGTTTAAAAAATAACGAAATTTTTCAGTTCAGGGAGCTATCAAAATGATAACTTTATTGAAATGAAAAAGTAAGTAATTGGAAATTGCTGTTAGAGAAATCACGTCAAGGTGTTATGTCTTCTCCACATTGAACCATTAGTCCTTTGCATTTACACAAAAACAACGACGATAACTTCCATTCCATTGCATTTCATGTGTATCTCATTAAGTTCAAGTATACTAGTAACCGCAATCAAAAACTTTAAAGTAGCAATTTACATTTTAAATGCAGGATAGGAGCAGAGCAAACACAGACCTCCAAACATCGGAGGTCGGATCTGGTGCCATGGATGATTTAAAACGACACTGCTTATATATTATTGTTTCATCGCGAAACCATTATTCAAACACTGAATTGTGTACATATTTTCCCGATCATGACAACTAGCACACGATGGGTGTGACCGGTGGTATGGTTCTCCTCCATGGCAGTGGATCCCAACTCTGATGTTTTGAAATGTCAGTGTTTATTCTGTGCCCTTTTTTCATTGTTTCCATTGACTTTTTAGATTGATTGCTGCTCGTTATCTTCATATCTAATTTTAAATATTTGTTAAGTAACGTCTAAAGGTCTTTAGAGGTAATTTGGTTATCGGATAATGTTTAATTCATTCTTATTATTCTCTTTTTTTCAAAATTTCGAGTACTAATGAAAAGAGCATAAAGCTATTGTTGACAAAAATGAATTTACTTACACTCGAAGAGAAAAATTCTTTAGATAATGTTTCCATTTTTTCATCCTTTCTTGGCTTTGTGTAAGCAGCAGGTATATTCTTTTCTTTTTCCTCACCTCTGGCTATGGAAAAATATATTAATGTTATGTTTCTATTTTTTTATTTTTTTTTTAAAGCTCCGTTTCCAAAGAAAGTTAAAAACAGGTAGGCTTATACAGGAGCAAAATTAAAATTAAAATAAAGTTTAAAAGCCTACATACTCTAGACAAAATTGCTAACGCATCACTATTAAAAACCTGTTTATGAAGTATTTGATATAAAAATATGTTACTTTACTAATAATAAAGCATATTAATGTCAAACCTTATAAATAACTACAGTGTTTACTGAAGTGTGACCAAATCATAGAAAAAAAATAATATCGTGTCTATTCCATTATCGAAGAAAAACATTTCGATTTATTTATGTTCTTTACATTTGTAGTAATTAAAAACTCAGAAAAAAGTGCACAGCTGAAAATTTTTGTTCGACACTAATACCGATCCGGCAAATGTTCAATTCACAAATAAGAATTAGCATGCATGTGGTGCATTAGCAATTTTGTCTAGTGTATATATATTGTGAATGAGGAGCTTTGACATCCCTTCAATATTTAAATTTGGTGAAAATGTTAACAATAAATTCAAACGGCATATATTAAAATTTTGTGATTTTTTTTTCAGACTTATTAAAAGTGTGGAATTGCAAAAATATAATTGCAGAGCAGGTTAAAATTAAGTAATTCACAACCATAACTCCGAAATAATATCGATTTTCATATCTTGTGTAAAATGGTGCAAACAACAAAAAAGTTTAGACGTTCAAATCAAGATCCCTCGTTGCTCATCGGCACTGCATGATTCCTGGCCCCCTTTGGTTATTTCTCACATTGTTGATTAGAAGCAGTAGATCGAGTTTGACGAGGAATTTTTAATATATGTAAGGGTGTTGCGCACTTCTGGTTGCAATATCCGTAAGACTGGCCACAGAAAAAAAATATGGTTGCAGGGAATTTATTTTACGGAGTTTCAGACGACAATTCAAGTGGATGTGACCGACTTCGAAAAAAAGATGGCGTACGATGGTTACATTGTTTATCATTAGATAGGGGATATATTTTTATCAAAACAAAAATGAGTAACATCAGGTGTGTGTAGTGTCTTCATATGAGTAAAAATATTCTAGAAAGGGACGTTCAAAAACAAGCAAACAAACACAAACATATTCTTAACCATGACTTTATAATTTGCATTGTGTTGTACTATGGAAAAGCCCAGAAAAAACTTTATAAATGTTGAAATAAGGTACTCCTTTAACGGACGTGACATAATTATGTTAAAATAGTTATTAATTGTGTGAGGATAAAGAAAAGGAATAGTTGAGAACCTGCTGGACCAGGTGTTGTATAAATCCTCTGTAGGTTAAATCAAACTCACCTTCGTTGAAAGGAATGTTTAAAGTATTAAAGACCGTTTTGTGGTTTTAAAGAAATTCATCTTAAGGATGTAAAAATTGAAAATAAGCAAGATTTTTAGGTGTAGAATTAATCCAGGTCCTTTAAAATATAGCCATGATAATGAGTCAAACAGAAAAAAGACAATATAAACTTTTTTACTTGACTGTTTTGATCTGATCTATTTATAATGGACTTTTGAACTTAATTACGCATTTTGTTTGTAATTCTTATATGATTTTAGGCACCAGATGCATGTTTAACATACCATTTCTCTTGAGCTCTAGCACAAATTTTCCTTCAAACAGCAATCCGGTTTCTTCATCGTAGGCAATGTAACCAATCTTTGTATACCTTCCTGTACCTGAAATTTGTTGTTATATTTTGAAATTTTTACTATGTGGAATTGATGTTGTAAATCTTTAATTTAGATGCACATGTGTCAATAACAATCAATTTAATGGAAAATATCATTCAATCTTGGTTGCACAGCAACAATAGAGATACAATTGGATAAATTAAATTCAATAAATTCAAATTTTACCGTGGCTCAAATTTTAGAATATTTGCTCAACTTACAGGAACTTGTCTTTTGGACATCCCTTGGCTGGAGAAGATTTTGAACTGTACTTTTAGCACATGAAGTGTCCAAAGCTGAGAGGAAAAGTTTAATGGCTTCTGCTCCTTTATGTAAAATCAATTTGATCAACTGCAAAGTCTTTTCCCTACAACAGCCACTGCTATTGTAAATAATTTCCAGGTCTTCTGGCGATATAACCCCAGCACTCAACAGAGGGGTCTGGATTGAGCTAATACTCACTACATCCAGTATCTCCGGTAAATTGTCCAAAATATTTCCTTTGACTTGTTCGATGTCTGAAAATTGAAACACATTAGTATCAACACACTTTAACTCACATATCCAACCCCCCAAGCTTTAACCCCCCCCCCCCCCAAAAAAAAAAATAAAATAAAAACCACACTGTTATGCAGAGTAAAAATGTTTATACTTTGTGCAAAGGGTGACTACACTTAAGGATCGGCAAAATGTGCGTCAAAGTAAACTTTCAAAAACAGTCATTTTTCTTTTAATTGTATGAATGATCAACATAATTTATAACTTTTCTTAATAACTATAAATAAAAGTATGTATCTACGACGTACGAATCTGATTTCTGAGGCGGGGGTCAACACAAGTTCTTCCATCTCCGTATGATAATGATGACGCCACCTTTTTTACTGACTTTATACAGTCATAGTCAGCGCATGTTTGTCTTTTGTACTCTTTTTGACTATAGTTGTAAGTTTGCATTAGTAATGTTTTGTTAAAAGGAGATTTATAGACAAGGGCTCTGACGCGTTGAATATTATAATTCACCACGTGATCTTTCCTCGGGTAATTTTGTGAATAAAAAATTCTGTCATGTGACTAGGACACTGTCTTCGAACACGTTAAGTAGTCAGTCATCGATTTAAAATATTCTTTACAAGTTTACATTCATGGGCTCATACGTTTAAAACTGTTGTAAATAATGTGCTTGTGCCATACAGATTAAATTCGAAGATGGAAGATAATGATTTAGTAATGTTTGTCTAATTTTAGATTAATTCTCCCTATATGTTATCTCCTTCTCTCATACATACATAATGACCAATCAAGGGCAGGTAAGTGTAAATGATCTGTATTTGGAAAGCCATCAGGACAAAAACATTAAACATATTATTGCATTACAGTCTAAAATCATTTTTAACATTTAAATTGGGTGTCTTATTGACAGGCCACTGTAGTAAATATATAAAAGTGGCCTGTCAATAAGATTTAAATGCAACAGAAGCTACCGAAATGGCCCAAAACATAGCGTTAAGTGCAGTCATCCTTTTACAGTGTGAAATATTGTAATGAAACATATGGAGATAACAAACAGTATTCAAGATAAAAAGCCAATAAAACAATACAAAGCAGGAGTAGAGCAAACAAGAACCTCCAAAACATCAGAGGTGGGATCAGTTGCCATTGAGGAGTGAACATCCCCTGCTGACCTGTCAAATTTGCGGTGTGCCCCTTGTCATGATTGGGAAATAGTGGAAAACATCTGTCGTGTGTCAGTGTATAAAATAATGGACTAACAATAGGTATGAAAAAGTCAGTCAGCATTTAAATGATTTCAAATTTAGAGCAAAATAGGTTTTGGTTACTTGATATTGAAAAAGCTTCAAGACTAAAGAGGTAATAACGCAATAAATGTTGAAAGAGCAAGCCCTACATTCTTTTATTTTAACTGTGTTTAATTAAGATGAATTTGATGTTATTAGATAGTGTTACCAATATCCCGATATTTCGATGTATCTGGAAACAGTCGGTCATAAATATATTTGTTTTTCTCCTTCAGTTTTTCTAGAACAACTTTAATTTTCTCATCGGGTTGATCCTTTAAAAATTTCAAGAAAGCTTCTGCTTTTATTGTCCTCAAGCCCGGTTTGTAGAACATTTCAATAACGGAACGAAAAATATCAGCAACTTCTTGTTCTTTCAGTAACCATTGTGGCTCAAGTTCCTCTAGAAGGAAGCTGTAACATCTCTCCAAACGGGACCTATAGGTAGTCTCAGGTATCGGACGATCAGCTGATTTCAAAATATCAGAAGGTGGATCTGTAAAACAAAAAAGTGCATTCTTGGGTGATTTTTTTACAAGTCATACCCAATATCCCATGTAGCACAATAACTCAAGTGGGTAAAATAGCTTTTCAGCTGTTCTTACAAATTCCTTTTTAATACCTATTTGTTCGTGTGCTTCTCTGATCTTAACTTCAATGTTGTACTTTTCTTTTGTCAAAAGTGTTCGGACATCTCTAGATTCAAATAGATGTGCTAAAAATCTGCAGATACCCTCTTTTTCTATGAATTGTTTTAACTTTGCAATTGCGTTAGGTGACTCCGTTTGAAGAATAATTATAATAGATCCTAATGATGTTTTTTCAAAGGTAAAGTGTGTTCCTTGAGCAAACAATTCTTCCGAGTTTGGGATTTCTTTTATCACTTTCTCAAGAACTTTTTCATTTCCACCAACACCCGAGATTATCATTTTTATTTTCTGTACTTCCATTTTAGGAGCTAAAAAAGAAATGGTGTTTATTAATGTTATGTCAATTTTAAAATTAGTAAAAAATCAGTTGGTTTCTTGTTACACCATTTTTCTTTCCGGATATTATTTTTTTTAGATTGGCATCTGGTTTTAAAAAGAAAGAGAACTACGAGGATGTGCTTGATAACCCCTAGTATAATTCCTCCTGAAGGCAATTGAAACTAGAGGTACTGTGAGCAATGAGCTCACTAAATGATACCCCCCGCCTCCCATATGAATAAAATGGCAGTGTTCATGTTTTGCTCTCGAAAATCCAAAATATATGTCAGATCAAAAAGTAAAATAGGAGGTGCACAATGGCAATATGTAATAAAGATTCTGTGAAAGTTTCATCAAATTTCATTCAGTGGTATGAGAGGAGTTGCGGATAAGAGATGGGTACCCCAAAGCGTAACAGACGGACGGATGGACAGACGGACGGACGGACGTACAGACGGACGGAATTAAAGATTACTATATACCCTCCCGCTTTTCAAGCGGGGGGGTATAATGATAAGTCTTACAAAACTACAAGTATGTTGTTATCTGCTTTCTTAAGGTAAATGTTAGCTGGGTCATTGCATACTGATCACATTATCAATCAGAAATAGTTCATTCAATATTTGATTGCAAACTACATGTATATTCACATCGCTATTTCCAGAGACGTTTAATTTGTAAAGCGATGAAGAACATGGACACATATGAGGATATATAAATATACGACAAGTTGACGATGATGAACATTGATCGAAGAAATAAATGGAAGAAAATATCGGGGTATATGGAGATAACAAACAGTATTCAAGATAAAAAGTCGATCACAAAATATAAACAATACAAGTTTGTGAAGAGGACATAAAACACAAATCTCCGAAAATTTCCGAGGTGGGTTCAGGTGCCTAGAGGGAGTGATTTGACCCTCCCCTGTTTATCGGTCATGCGAATATGTAAATATCTATTAAGAATGCAAGATGTGGACTTCATAAAAATACCTTTCATGGAAAAATGTACGTCACCACCTATGAATTCAACTTTCAATTCTTCCTTGTTTTCTAAAAATAGAAAGGTTCATTAAGATGAATATCCTTTATCAAGATCTATTTCAATCTTTTATTTATTAGCTTAATTTTTTCCCTTAATAACATTGTAGAATACTTTGTCACCTGTTCTCTCATCCAAGTCAGTCCTGTCTATCTCTTTCAAAAGACGCTCTGCAAGATTGTTTATTTTATGCTTTTTCAGAATTGAAAGCAATTTAAGATATGATTCTGGTAGTCTGTTTGCTATGAGATTGAAAAGCAAATCAGCTGCTCTGGGTTTCTTTTTCTCGGCCGATATTTCTTGATGTTCCTCAAAAGAGAGAAGATCTTCCTCTAAGAAATCGTCAGCAATGCTATCGCTTTCACTCGATATCCTGTGCATGACTTCTTCCAGAATTTCATCTCTATTTTCATTCAATATCATGCCCAAACATTTACAGTTTAGAACTTTAAAGAGAAAAAACTTTGTTTAATTTTTAGAAAAAGCAAGATTTTTAAAAATACAATGAATATTCATTAGAGTCCTTCCTAACGTTTCTGTTCAGAAAATGATGTCCCACTTCAAAACTTTATCAGAATTTGATTTTCTGTTAGAATTTAAGGTACAGACCTAGGTAGACAAATTTTCACCAGGTAAATTTTAAAAAAGATTAAGAATACAATGCAATACAACAATGAAAGAATGATTACCTTTATCAATGGTATTTACATTTTCACTTGTCGATGTTTCAATGCTTAGAAGAGAAAGAAAGCAGTGAAATCCTTCCTCCTGAGGATAACGTATCATCATTCTTGATAATTCTGTCAAATGATTTGGATGCTGTAACAATTTATGTAAAATGAAGTCGCATTTCTTTGCTCGAGATATTCCGATAAGGAAGGAATTTTCATCTGTGTCCAAAATATTGTGCTGTACGAGATAATCTACTAAAACATTTGGTTCCATTTGCTTTTTCAGAAATTTATAGTGCCTCCTTATGTCATGTGTTTTCAAGATGATCCTACTCCCTGATTTACAATGTTCTCCACAGCACACAACTGATTCCCTTTTCATTCTTGGAAAGGTTAGAATGCTGTATAAAAATATTATTTCATGTAGCTGTTTTGAGATTGATAACCAACCAGCTAAATAAATAAATATCATTATTTCTCACAAATAAAAATTCCACATTATTCATTGAAAATAATCATAAGGTACGGATAAGTTGACGTTACAGCTTAAATTGTTGACATGAAGAAATCGTCAGGAAGAAAATTAAAAAAGAAAGGTAAACGTTATTTTACATAAGTATCCAGCTTTGAAACCTTTATGAGAAGTTTCTAAGATTATTTCCATAAGGAAACATTATTAAGTATTATGTTTAGAGATAGAATACCTTTTTATTTTCCGGTAGCACAGGTTTGAATGTTAGAAATTCTTTTTCATTCCTTTTACAATGCGATTATATTTGCAATGTTGAAAGTACTTCAATGTCTAGATGAATAAAGAACGAGGAGATATTAAAAAGTGAAGCATAAAGAATATATGTCAAGACTTTCATCTGAGCTATTTATTTCAAACAAACATATTAAAATATATATTAGTAGAATGGATGTATTCATTGCTGACAAATATGTTTATCATTTGTGAGGCTCCATCTACAGCCTTAGGAATTCACACACTCTTTTCTGAATGTTACACAGGAATGTTCACTTACTTATAACCATAACAAATTGTGCTCCTGTTAGGTTTGTTCCAAACGAACATTCCTATTGGTCCATACCAGTGGTTACCAAAATGGTCGAGTGGACTAGCGCCAGAAAACTAAAAGCGCTTTAGGTACATTTACATTTAGTTAGCATCATCTTTTCTATCCATAGAATAAACAATAGACCAATTTTTTTTTTCAAAAAATTGTTAATGGTTTATCCAAGTAATGGCATGACCAGGAGGCTAAACCTCGAACATGGCATTTTTTTTCTAGCTGAGAGTGACTTAGAACTTGGTGTGAGCATTTGTCATCCAAAAATCCCGTTAATCCAAGCATGTGGTATGACCCAAATGTTCCGTAAAATATGCAATTTTACTTCATTCTGTTAGTTCTATGAAAGTTTATCGGAATGTTTATATGGATTGTCCAAACAATTAAACGCTTGATAATATATAAAATCTAAAAGGGGATGACGTTTTCATTTCCAACATTTTATAAAGTTTTGCCCTTGGAAAAACTGTTATAGAACTAGGAAACGTCCAAGGGGTTACAGAGAAATAAAATGCATCCGAAGTACTTGTTTTGAAATGCCGAAAAGGGATCAGAAAGATGAGATAAACATTTAAAGTCGATTTGAAGTTAGGGTGTCAAAAATTAGTGACGTCGAAAAGTGTCTTGATCATTTGTGATAGATATTGAACACGAAAAAAATAAAACAAAATATGCTGGCATAACTTTAACAATTTTGAATATATTGAAAGCACTTTTCATAACATTGTAAAGTCATATGACAAGACGGGTTTAAGTCTACTCAACTCCAGGGAATCTCATGCATCAGTATGAACATTTTTTAAACCCAGGTAGGCTTCTGGCAGATAAACTGATGTTACATGGATTTCAAATGCCTCAATTAAGGCCAACATTTCTAAATTCTATGGTACATATGTAGCTATAATATGACCTTGTTAGGAAATTTCGCCATGGGGTCGTATTTTGGCTGAAGTGATTTATACCCAATTGTTAGGCCCTTATAATTATTTTTGTACAGAATTTTATTATGGAATGTTCCGTCTACTTGATCTTTACCTAGGGTTCACGGCGGGTGTGACCGGTCAACAAGGGATGCTGACTCCTCATAGGAATCCGATCCAACCCCTGGAATTTACAGGGGTTCGTGTTTTCAAAAGACCACTTAGATTTTCTTGCATTGTTAACGATTTTTGTATTACTCATCGTTGTCTTTACATTTGCATTTTTGTTTCTAAAAACAATTATGCAAAAACACCCTCTGGTCCAAGAAGAGTGGTGCTAGAATGCTTCTCACCTATCACAGAAATGATTATTATGCGTTTTGCATAAAACCTATAGAAATGTTTATATATTTTACAAACAATCGTAGAAATTCATATTACCTATTATTCATATATTTGTTTACGTAAGCTTTCGTTTCGTTTCATGTTCACTCAGATGATTAGTTATAAAGTCGTTGATTAGGCATTTAACACAAGTAACAAATAATGCGCTATTTATACCATCCAAAAATTAGTCAATATAATATTAATATATTTTGCAAGGTTCTATTCCTTTCTAGGATCTGAAATAAAATTCAATCATAGATATTAAGAAATCATTACCTTCTTTCTTGAATAAAATCAAACGACTTGAATGTTCAATGCAACGTGCGAGAACTGAGTCAAAACTTATAAATTCCTTCATAAGTAGGTAATGGACACCACCGTTCTGTTGTCCGTACATACTGAAAACAAGTTTAAAACGACAACAAAGAACAATTATACCGCGTGATTTCTTTTGCAGATATACACTCTCTGGGTCTTCTTTTGATCTTTACATTTCTTTTGTTCTTCTACTCTAAATCCATTCATTACTTTCAAATGAAAGTACAATAAACAACAAACACACCATTTGGACATAGCAACGACACGCAGTAGCTTTATTTTTGCAGTGTACATAACATATGCAAAATACAACTGTATGAAAATCAATTTGTATATACAAGTTTATGCTGGATTGAATAAATCATGATAAAATTTTAAACTTTATCGTGCTCTACGTGTCGTCCTAAACTGGTATTTAAACCACTATTCACCTCTTATATAGCCTTGCTAACGAGACCGGTTCTAAAGAACCACGTGATATACACCAGGTATTCGAATGAAAACCTTGTAATTCCGAAAAAGTGATTTATTATCACACCGAGTAGAAATTGATTTCTGTCTAATTCGTTCCTCAAACGAAAGAAACCATATTTCTACTCTAAATCCATTCATTACTTTCAAATGAAAGT